CTGTACCTGAGGCCGCCGCTTTGAAACTCGCAGCGCCTCCTTCTCTCCCAGACGTCCCTGCGGCACAAGCCTTGCTCCACCAATCATTAGGGGCACTGGGTGCCATGGCAACGGGGACGCCTCCAGGCAACGGCGCGTTGCCAACCGTTTTTTGGCGTCTCCCTTCCCGCCCTGCTTTTAAGTCGCGCGGACAGCCGTTTCCCTCAGCGTCGTATCCGCCTTCCCCTCCCGTTTTCGTTGCTTGTCTTTTCGACCCTGCGTTCCTCTCTGTCTCTGTTATCATGCCCACATACGGCTTTTAGTCTCTCCTTTTCTTTCTCGTCTCTCGACGGAATGACCTCAACAATGCCTCCGCTTCCGTCAACAGAGCCACGTTTTTGTTCCAACAGAAGCGCCCTGACTACACCGTATTTGCCCCCCTCTTTCCCTCGTGCCTCTTTTCTTACCAGAGAATTATCTTTTAAGGGGAAAAAGGACATTACAGCGTCACGATATCTTTTCTCTAATAGCAAAGCGAGTCCTTTGTCTAAAGACATGCAAACTCCGGAAGCCGCTTTGGTTAGAAATACTTTTACAATAAAATAAGCGATGGAAAATAAATATTCCGGTATAGCCTTGGCGCTGGGAATTCGCGCTGCTTGCCTTACGTCCTAAACAGCTCGTTTCTCACAGCATTCAGTAGCCATTGCTTTTAAATAACTAACACGCTAGTTACTTAGAGAAAAGTGCTTTAAAATTTGGAAATATTGCAGAGATAACTTTTTTGGTCTTGGGGCTCTATGGTGATAATTTGTAAACATTTTGATGCTCAGGACAATATGTGTGTGAAAACCAGAATCCTATGGGTGTTCACATGTGGTCTGCATAACTTCCCATGACGAATGGGGGCCAGCTGACAACATGCTGTACTCTTGTCTTGGTCATATGCCTGATCTTGTGCCCACTTGTGATGACACTGGGCATCCCGTCAATTAGCTTCAATTGTAACCAGCAGCTGGTTACAAAAACCTTATGCAAATAAGAATGGGATTCCAGCTATGTATCCACATATATGTGCATGCACACAGACAATGTAAGGTACAGTATATGAACTCAGGTGAACTGGAAAACATAAAGTGAGAAATTGAACATTTAAACAGTACTTAGTAAGAGCAAACTAAAATGGCACAGGAAGCAGACATTTTCAATCAGATAATTACAAAGCGTTTTACTCTGGAAATGGCAAGCTCAGAAGAAACTGTGACTAATAGATATGGTACAAGTATAACATGATATAGTACAGGCAGTTAAGGACTATTATGCCAAATCTGACGGAATAATATTAATCAAGTTTCCTGGAAAACCTATCAATATGATCATCATTCAGGTCTATGTGCCAACTACAGATGCTTAAGGAGAAATTAAAAGCTTTTATGCAAGTGTCTAGGAGGAAATTAATCACACACCAAAAACAAGATGTGCTGTTAATCAGAGGCAACTGGGATGCAAAAGTAGGAAATAAAGCAGAACCAAATGTTGAAGAATTCGGCCTAGGAGTCAGGAAGAAAGGAGAATGACTCCTGGAGTTCTATGGAGACAACAATCTATTTTTGCAAACACATACTCAAGCAACCAACAGATGACTGTACAAAGGGACATCAACAGACAGTCAATATAGAATTCAAATAGGCTACATACTTGGAATTAGTAGATGGAGAGAGAAGCTTGTATTCTCTCTGCCACAACAAGACCAGAGGAGCACACTATGGTACTGACTATGAATTTTTAATATAAAAAAAATTGAGTAAAGCTGAAAAAGAACACTAAAATAATCATAGTGCCAATTTAAACGACGTTTGATGAAGTTAAAGTTCATGCAAAGAACAAATTTACATTCCTAAACTCACTTGGCTGAACCAGAAGAACAGCAAATTGGAACAAGAGATATTATCAGGGCAGAACACAAAAAGACTATTCCTGTCATTAAAAGAAAATAAAAGTCTAGACAGATGACAGAAGGAACATTTAACTTGTTATAGACAGATGTGAAGCAAAAGGAAAAGGTGACAGAAATAATATAAATACAAATAATAATGCAAATATAACAACAAAAGGAAAAGCATTGTCCATAAAATCCAAGAAATTTAAACATAGATTAGGGATGTTGAAAGACTAACAGTGGAATATGCCATCTGATCAGGATAAAATAAAGAGAAGGTGGAAACAATATACTGAAAAATGTTATCAAAGCAGTAGGAAGAAATAAATCAGCAGGCTAGATGAAATACATAAAAAACTATGTGAAGCCTCAGAGGCTGAATCTGTCAAAATCTTAATAAGAATATGCCAGTAAGTAAGGAAAATAAAAGATAAAAGGCCCACAAGTTGGAAATATTCAATATACCCAAGAAAGGAGAAGCCAAGGAGCGTAATAATTGTTGTATTAATTTCCCATGCAGCAAAGTGATGCTCAAGGTGTTGCAACATTTTTTTTACCACATGGAGTGAAAAAGACCGCCGAAGAATGGATGCCTTTGAATTGTGGTGCTGGAGGAGGCTCTTGAGAGTCCCCTGGACTGCAAGGAGAACACACCTATCAATTCTAAAGGAAATCTACCCTGAGTGCTCACTGGAAGGACAGATCCTGAAGCTGAGCCTCCAGTACTTTGGCCATCTCATGAGAAGAAAAGACTCCTTGGAAAAAACCTTGATGTTAGGAAAGTGTGATGGCAAGAGGAGAAGGGGACGACCGAGGATGAGATGGCTGGACAGTGTCTGCGAAGCTACCAACATGAATTTGACACAACTCCGGGAGGCAGTGGAAGATAGGCGGGCCTAGCGTGCTCTGGTCCATGGGGGCACGAAGAGTCGGATACGACTAAATGACTAAACGAACGAACGATGGAGTGAAAAATGATCAGTGCTCAGAAATTTGTGCTGGTTCATCCTTTGGACAAACAAGTGTTTGGTGGCTCCCAGCCCTGCCTCCTCTGTCGGGTGGCCCATGCAGAGGCTTCCAAGCTCCCAGCTTCCGTGTCCTCCTCTTCCAGGCGCTGCTTCTGAGTGGGCAACTTGCAGAGAAAGCAGGGCTGGGAAGTGTCGAGCACCTGTTCATCCAAAGGACGAGCTGCCATGAATCACTGATATTCAATGTTCAAGCTAGATTCTGTAAAGAGACACTAGAGATTATATTGCAGATATAAGTGGACTAGTGGAACATATGAACAAAAAATTCAGAAGAAGGTAAGTCTCTGTTTTATAGACTGCAGCAAAGCCTCTGACTGTGGACCATGAGAAGCTGTGGATTGTTTTGAAAGAAACAAATATGCCTCAGGATTTGATTGTCCCAATGCATAACATATATGGTGGCCAACAAGCTTTAGTCAGGGTAGAATATGGAGAACTAGAGTGGTTTCCCATTAGGCAAAGGTGTCAGACAAGGGTGTATATTAGCTCCCTATCATTCAGTCTGTATGCAGAATATACTGTATGGAAAGCTGAATGAGATTCAGATGAAGGAGTGAAATTGGTGGAAGAAACATCAACAATTCAAAATATGCAGATGATACCATATTCTTGACAAAAAGGGTCAATGTTTTGAAACAACTCCTAATGAAAGTGAAAGTAGAAAGTGCAAAAGCAGGACTACAGTTGAATAGGAGACAAAAATCATGACTACAGAAGAGCTATATAACCTTAATGCTGACAATGAATAAAATGAACTTGTTAAAATATCTTGTATGCCTTGGTTCAATCATCAATCCAAATGGAGATTGCAGCCAAGAAATCAGAATATTAAGACATGGGAGGGCAGCTATGATGGAACTAGAAAAGATAATCAAATGCAAGGATATGTAATTGGAAACCAAGGCTTAAGATAATGCAATTGCATTTCCAGTCAACATCGCAAGAGTTGACAGAACGACACAAACTGGGATTTGCTGCTTGGGCAATAGCCTATCCTCCATATGATTTTACCCAGACTTCGTGCTCTGGAGAGGGCACTCCAGCTCAGAGCATGTTACTATAGTCTCTCGAGACTGAAGGATGCCTAAGAAAAAGAAGAATTTCCAGTCAACATTGAAGAAAGCTGTCAGGAAAAAGGTGGATTTGTTTGAAATACAATTCTGAAGGAGAGCTTTGTGGATACCCCTAGACTGCCAGAAACACAAGTGGGTCCTAGATCACATCAAGTGGGAAGTCTCTCTGGAAACAAAAATGATGAAGCAGGCTATTATACTTGGCCACATCAGGGTTTTCAGAGGGGGACATGTTGCCATTGACTCACAACCCCCTCCCAAGTTGCACAGCTTGAGGGTACTCCTGGATTCATCTCTGAGTCTAGATGCCCAGGTTTCAGTTGCGGCCAGGGGTGCATTTGCACAGTTAAAATTAGTGCGGCAGCTGCACCCATTCCTGATCTGGCGACAGTGACACATGCCTTAGTTACATCCCCACTGGATTACTGTAAAGCAGTCTACCTCACACTGCCTATGGAAAGTGTCAGGAAACTTCAACAGATCCAAAACACAGCAGCCAGACTGCTGACTGGGGCTGAACACAGGGATCACACAACCCTCATTACAGCAGCTCCACTGGCTGCTGATCCATTTCCATGCACAATTCAAAGTGATGTTTCTAACCTATAAAGCCACAAACAGCTTGAACCCAAGCTATCTCAAGGACCGCATCTGCCTTTATGAGCTTGCTTGACATTTTTTTGACATATAGAAATGACATTTTCTATAAAGGTCACCGCAAGACTTCTGCGAGAAGCAAGATCTTTCTGTCTTAACACAGAAACGTGTTTTCAGCAGTCAGAACCCACTTTGAATTAGTGGATTTCAATGGGAGGACGTACCCTGTGGTTTGATGGGTGCATGTGAAATTTCCCCATGGATCTCTTAACCTTGCCCATGTTTACTATGTTTAGAAGCAACTGTAGCACCTGAAAGGTAAGGCTAGGAAAGGAAAGGTAACTGTGTTTTACAGCATGGCTGTCTTGTGGGGCAGTTTCAATATATGAAACTAAACAAGAATAAATAGGTGGGAAAAATAAATTGCTAGCAAGAGGCAAATAGGAGCTACAATGCAAAAACAAGTTCTTCAAAAATCATTGGTACTTCATGTTGTGGTCTTGAAGTCATTATGAAAAGCCACAAACAAAAAACCACAATTCTTGCCTTCGGAACTCACTTGTAAATCTTACTATATGCTTATCTTATGTTTTTGGGTTGTTGTTGTTGTTTTTACCAAAAAAGTTGTTTTCGAAAAAATACAAGCTTTCATGCTTCTCCTTTAACACTGGTGCCTGTGAGGAGCATGTTCTGCATCTCCCACAAAAAGTGTTTCCCCCACACCTCAGAGACTTTGAGACTACCCTTTCCTCCCTGTTGCTTCCTTTGTTGGCAGCCTTTCATCTCCCCTCCATTTTTTATTCTCTTAAGATATACATATTGAGAGTCATCTGCTGCCTTTTTCTTTCACTATATAAAACAAAGCTATGAACTGTAAGAAGTAAATAAAATTTAATTTCTGAAAAATTGTGACCGCTGCTGATGTCAGTAGCCTCACACAGGTTAATTTATGCAATTGCATTTCAGGCATGAATAAGTTAATTGCACAAGGAATAATGAAATCAGGAAGGACTGGTTTGCCTTAATATTTCAGATCCACAAGACATGACGTCTACTGTTTTCTCTTTTATTTTGCCACCCGGTAAGTGAAATTTTCAGCAGCAAGCTTCCAATATGCAAGAAAAAAGTTTTTTAAACTGTTTCTCACTTGAATATAAGCATAGGATTATGATATTTAAAATTTTCTCTATGAAATAATAGCTACTACCTACATGCTTTTCTCTAACAGTCAAGAAAATGTAGTGAATTCTGCTTTGAAAATTCTGCTTTTTATATACTACTTTATTAGGGCTAGAATCGTGTTCATTTACATAGTCACATAATAATTTAAACATTTCTCTCCCTTTGACAGTCTCTTCTTCACAATGCAGCATGTATTGTTTGCAAAATGAGTTATTTGACCAATTGTGCCAAGGGCAGTGTAACAGAAGGGAATAAGCTGCAAGACTGCTGTGTACAAAACATACAAGGTAAAATTACCACAGTGACCATTTATCCGAAGTCCTGTTCACCTTCTATACGTATGTAAGCGCAGTCTTGCAGCCCTTTCTGTTACACTGCCTTTACATGTATAGAAGTTGAACAGGACTTTGGTCTAGATCAGGGGTCTCCAAACTACAGCCCATGGGCCACATCTGGCCCGCCCTGCCTTTTTATTTGGCGTAGGCACAGGAAGAGAAGGGAATATGGACCAAAGTGATCCACCACCCCCTCTGTCTTTGCAAAGACAGGGAATGGGGGATTGCTTGAGTCCTCCTTCCCTCCTTCAGCCATCGAAAATGTGTAAAATATATGATGTGCCCCTCACACTGAAAAGTTTGGAGACCCCTGGTCTAAATGGTCACTGTGGTAATTTTACCTTGTATGTTTTGTACATAGCTTTGTATTAATATGCATGATACGTGCCTGGGGATTGATTAGCAGTTGTAAGTTGGACATGGGCCAGAAGCAACAATTAAAAAACAGTTGATATTATTATTATAATATTCATGAATAGAAATGTAAGCTGGTTGGTTGTTATGATTCCTGTGTGAAAGATGACAATTTTCTATATAAGCATGCTTGTGTCTTTGAGAGAGATTGATTTAAAATTTAAAAGAGAAAGTTGATCTGTTAGGACTGAGGGCTCTGTTTTTGTGGAGAAGGTATGAAAAATAATGTGTTCTAATTGAAACTTGTGTAAAAATAATCATATCTATTTTTCTAAATAATTTAACGGCCAAAATCTGATGGTTTAGCATAGCACGTTGCAGCTAGAGTTGGTCCATTTGAAATAGTGGAACATATGGAGAAGTAGATTCATCAAATCTGCATTGATGCAATTGGCCTAGTCTAATCCAATTTATTATGCTAAGCAACTGGATCTTGGCCATTATGTGTAAATGGTACAGAAAAATTAAAGTAAAAAACATTGTGGCTATACAATAAGGAACTTGACAGTTTGTGACATTGAATCTTCATTCTTTTTGGTTTTACTTTTTTCATTTATAAACGCTGCTCATTGTTTTTTGAGATAGCAGTCACATGATTGAATGTGGTATGTTTCCAACTTTGCAACCTGTATTGCTGGTGAGTAACAAAACACATCATTTATATAGCATCAATTATGTAGCTGAGGTTGTGTGTTTCAGCAGAATTCCCATCTCTTTTAAAAGGACAGTGTAAAGACATCCCTTAGGTACGACAGTGTGAAACAGCAGTAGAAAAAGGAACACTGATTGCTGATAGAGCAATTTCAAATTTAATACAGGAATTTTGTGGCAGCTGTTATTTTGCTGATGGCACACAGGTTTAGAGGTGTGTGAGCACCACAGTCATCTGTACAAATCTTTGTTTTACCCAGATATTTTGTACATTTAATGAACATTTAGCATATTCTTTTGAACTATGAGCTCAACACTACCTGCACCTACCTGCAGCTTGCAAACAATACTGATGAAGAAATTCATTTCACATGAAAACCAAATTGACCCAAAGGAAGTTTGTTCAAAAACCATACCTCAGAAATTACACAAAGGTACTTTCCAGCTTCCTTGATGTGTGCTGTGTCTACGGGCAATACCTTTTCAAAAAAAATGCATGTTTTTCTAAAGATTGTGTCCATGTGCAAGTGTTGCTGAGTGGATTTTAAATTTAAGTTCATGGTTAGAACTAAAATTTCTTTTTTTGCTACAGTGCTCTCTTCATAAACTTTACCAACATCCAATAAAAGCTGTGAATTTTTTATTTTATTTGATACCTAGTGAAGACCTACCTCAGTTCTTAAATAACCCACATCATATGGTTTGGTCCGCTTGAGATCTATGTTTTGCACGTTCTGTTAGATTTACATGTTTTGTGGGCCACAAAGGGAACCTTTGTTGCACTGTGGCCATACATACTGAATAAATATATAAAAAACGTATGTTTCGTACTATAACCCAAAGTAAGGATTTCTTGAAGTAGAGAGGATACAACATGCCCATGAAGCTACTGTTCTTGACAGGCTTCCTCATTCCCTCCAACACAGAAAGAAAAACCCAGAAAAAAAAGACATGACACTACCTCACATTCATAACTGAACAACAAGAAAGCAAAACAAACAAAACAAAACAAAACCCCACAACTGTGTGCATCTCGGAACATACAGCACTCTGGGTAGCTATCAATGTCTCTAAACAGTTATTACTGTTATTACACTTGATTCTTTTCACACATGAAGCACATTTCACATGGATCAGTTTTGTTTTCAACTATATAGCCACAGCAGAAAGCTAACACTGCCGTGCACACTGCAAACATCAAATATTTCTAAGAGAAGCAGTCTTATTGCATTTAAGTTCAGTTTTACAGGTCTATATATAAGAACATGACACTGTGGAATAGGAATACCTCTCTTTTGCTCTTCGTTTTCTTTGATTTTACTATGAATTAATCTAGACTTACAAAAATTACAGTATACAAGAATGATAACATCTCATATTTTGTACAACTAAATAATTTGGATATACAAAGCTTCTAGTATTAAACAACAATGTACAACCAATGTTTATTTACAATGCAAAAAAGTATATAAACTGCAATTTAAACATTCCGCTACTGGCAGCTGCTATATTTCAGGAGGTAGCTTTAATTAACAAAATGCAGTGAAGCCATACTTCCCACCTTGTTTTTTTAATTTTATCAAATAATTTACAATACAGAGAAAAATATATTTTATACACACTATATACAATCTAATTTTCTTAACTGTAGTCTATCTTAAATTGTTTGGCAAAAATTATGCCAGAATTTATGTTATGGCAATGGAATCGCTATCAACGTAATATTGGCTGGAAAAATTATAAGATATAGTTTGATCATGAACTCATAATTTATCCTGCTCAGAATTAAGGGCAAAAGGGGACCATTCTGTGTGACTAAGACACCACCAGAGCCTGAAGATGTACCAGTTCACGTTGTCTTCTCTTTTCTTATAGCCCATGTTCACGTTATTATAAAACTGAAGCAACGCAGAAGTTCTCATAGTGTAGGGCACCTTACACATTTTATTTCTGGGCTTGTGAACATTCCAGTCTTCTTGATCCAAATAAACATGACACTTTTAGACCTCTAATATGCATTGCAGAATACTATGTACCATGGTTTCATCCCAAATGAGATTTTGTTTCCTGAAGAATATGCTCATTTTATGTCTCAGTGGCTATCAACGGTGTCGCATGGGACAGACTTACATGACTGTTCCTGCTATCATTAAGACATTTTTGACTCAACTGGAAAAAAAACACACCTAGAGCCTCTCCAATAAACACATAAAGTTCTGCCTTTGGGTGGTGTGTATCGTGTTTTCTTCTATGCCAAATTGCTGTGGGAATTCATTAGGTAACCCACAGTAAGCATGCATAATCTCTGGTTTGTAGATTAAAACAAGTGAACTCCCATTTGAATGGAGTTCCATATGCACATCAGGGTTTCAGAATCGTAGCAATGGCAAAAATCCAGCATGAGTCCAGAGATCAAGGGAAAAACATAATTCACATTGGGATCACAGAATAACACAACATGAGATTGGCAAACATTTGTTTCGCTAACATACAAATTCCCTACATTCTTAACTGCTATCAAGCAGTACTCCAGGGATAAAACCTTCTACACTGACACACTGAGAATTCATTATGTGATATAAGTAGTATATCATACTGAAATTCATTGCCTTATTCCAGACAAATTAAGCCACAACTTGAATTATGAAAACAACATGTTTTGTTTGTTTGTCTCACAGTTGCATATGGGAAGAATACTTCCGTATTTTGGCCCTGCAGTAAATTGTCCTGAGATTCAGTCAGAAATGCTATACAAAAGTTAGCAACAGTCTCCCCCACCCTGCCTTCCTTAGTTATCACTTTCTGTTGTATTGTGCTTGAGAGAAAAAGCTGACAAGATTCACATTACAACAGAAGCATTAAGTTAAAACTGGGTAACACCCTGGAAAATAGCAGAATATAAACACAATATATAATTGCTTGGGAAAGAGTACAAAAATGGATTATAAATTTTTTGTTTCCAATTATATACATTAAGAGCAACAGCTCTTATTTTAAATTTATAGCTCAAGACATTTACTGCTTAAATCCCTTGTTTATAGCTAACATCAAATGATGCTTATAAAAGTGCTTCCGGTGAAGAGCTGAAAAAGACAAGATGTACTTTGTCGTTTTTAGCACTGGGTTTGCAGCAAAGTCCTTCAATCTTTAATCCTTGGGATGTTGTAGGCATAACGGACCAATGGGAAACCTCTGCTCTGGTAGAAACAAGCACGTCCACACGCCTGTACTTGATCTGAACTGTCTGACACAAAAGAATCTTCTTCATCAGCATAATCAGAATGGGCAGATTGGGTACCACAGTCCGACCAGTAGCCATCTGGCCTCTGGCAAGGCACTACTGTCAGAGCAGGACAACTGTGGGACTTGATTAAGTGTTTGCATGGTACAGGCTTAGATACGAGTAATGATTCACAGCATTCACACATGGTTAGGTTGCCCTGCAGATGTGTGTACATGCCACAGTCATAGTAGAAATCCTGCGTCCCACAGCCACCTTGTACATTGACAGCAACTGTTCCGGTCCCATTCTTCTTGGTGATGTGCCATTTGAGTAAATTCCAATCTTCCTTGAATTTGGGGTTGAAGAACACATACAAGACAGGATTCAAACAAGCGGGCAGTGGGAAAAATATCAGAGTGACAGACTTCATGATTTCAGGGCTAATAGAGATGGCTGTGATGAGAGGGGCAAAGGAGAAAAATGCCACAGGGCAAAAAAAGATGCAGTTGGTGAAGATAAGCCAAGCAACATGTTTAATCATGCTGGCTTGAGTGTTCTCAGAGAGATCTTCCTTTTCCAAGTTGCAGTAAAGTTTTGTATAAATAACAGCCATTAGCAAAAAAGCTAATGAGTTTAGGAGCACTAATGTAACTGTAAAGCCCAAGGAAGGAGTTTCTCCAGTGGGAAAGGGCAGACAAAGAGGGGATGCTGAATATTCTCCTGTATGAAAAAGTGGCAAACAACCTGCTACCAGTGCACATAGGAAAGCCAAAAGGGCTGCAATTCGAAATGGCTTTTGATTATTGTTTTTACCTTTTTTAATTATCTCCTTTGCCAATAAGCTCCGCTCAATGGCAGCTAACATGAGGAAAAGAATGGCACTTTCTGAGGAGAATATGGCTAGAAACCCAGCAACTTTGCAGCCACTGCCTGTCTCCCACCAGATCCCATATTCAGCAAACCTACCCCAAGAGACTGCATCCAGAAATGTTAATATGCCAGTATAGATCCCCATAAGTAAGTTAGATACAGAAATCAAGCCTATGAATAGTTTGGATGGAGGCAGTGAAGTACAGGAAGGAAAAATGGTTAATATGACAAGCATGTTGAAGAACAAGGCAACCAAAAAAATAAACCAAACTGTAAGACGAATCATCCAGCTTCCCAGTAAGTATTCACAGGGCTTGAAGGCACCTAAAAATGAAAAGAAAAATATGTAGTGGAATAAGAAAAACAGGACTGGCTGTCACTACACCTTTTACCAGTATTGCAAGAGCCATTAATTATTTCTGGAAATAACATTAAAACCCTTGTATAGGTTAGATTAATGTGTAAGAGATATGTAGTATGAATTAAGCATCCTTCAAATGATAATTTAAATGAAGGGCAACTTGGGAACTTCTGCATTAAAAATGCAATAAATTAAATCTTATTGAAGCTTAAGCTAATCAACAAACTGTACAAATCACAGGGAAATATATTAAACATAGAAGGCTTTCTCAAAAACAAGTTCTGTTTGAGATTTTATTTTTAAGGTAAGATTTAATAATTAGTATTTCACTCCTCAATTCACTGGATTCCAGGTACTCATTGGAAGAACAAGTCCTGTGAATATAACTATGGCCCCTGCTTATCCTGTGTTAATGGATGTGGACAGTAAGTACCCTTGGAGAAATGGGTACAAGGAGTGGTGAATGTTTCCTCGCAGCAGGGTAGGATCCCTGCATGCTTAATAGTAAGACTATTGTTGAAAAAGATCCCACAGCATTGGATAATTACCAGCCAGACTCTAACATCCCTTTCTTGGGCAAGGTGCTAGAGTGAGTTATGGTTTCTCAGCTCCAGGGGTTCCTGGATGAAACAGATTACCTAGATCCATTTCAATCTGACTTCAGGCCGAGTCATGGGATAGAGACTGCTTTGATCATCTTGGTGGACATCCTAAATTTAAATCTGAGAAAGTTGTTTCAGTTCTAGATAAGTATCTAGTGTCAGTAATGAATTGGATGAAGGTGAATAAACTGTAACTGAATTCAGACAAGACAGAGGTGCTCCAGGTCAGCCAAAAGGCAGATCAAGGAATAGGGATTCAGCCAATGCTGGTTGGGGTTACACTCTGAAAACACAAGAGTGCAGCTTGGGAGTGCTCCTGGATTTGTCTCTGAGCCTGGATGCCCAAGTTTCAGCAGTAGCCAGGAGTGCCTTTGCACAGCTAAATCTAGTTCACCAGCTGTGCCTGTTCCTGGAGAAGCCGGATCTGGCAAAGGTGACACATGCCTTACTTACATCTTGGCTGGATTACTGTAATGCCCTCTACATGGGACTATCTGTGGAAAGTGTTCATAAACTCCAGCCGGTCCAAAAAGCCACAGCCAGACTTTTAACTGGGGCCAGTTACAGAGAACATATAACACCCCTATTACAGAAGCTCCAATGACTGCTGATCTATTTCAGGACACAATTCGAAGTATTGTTTTTGGCCTTTAACGCACTAAATGGCTTGGATCCAAGCTATCTAAAAGACTGTATCTCCCTTTATGAACCCTCTTGGGCATTAAGATCATCAGGAGAGGCCTTTCTCTCATCTCATAACCTTCACAGGTGTGTTTAGTGAGGACAGGTCCTTCTCTGTTGCTACTCCCAGACTCTGGAACTCCCTTCCATGGGAGACCCGGCTGGTCCCATCTTTGCTGTCCTTCCACAAGTAGACAAAGATTTTTCAATCAGGCCATCCTTTAACTGACTGGTTGACCAAGGGAATTTTAAAAAAAGAAATTAAATACTAGACATCAGCCTTCAAACAGATGAACTGCATGCATGGAACAGACTCATTCTCTCTTGCTCCAGAGATTTAGTCCAGAACCAAGAGACAAAATGTAAGGGAAGCAGATTCCAGTTAAACAGTAAGGTAAGTTTCCAAATAATAAGAGCTGTTTGACAACAGAGTGGGACATTTACCTGTTGTGGGGGTACAGTGAATTATCATTTGACCAAGTTCTTCGTTTTCATCACTGTTTATATCATCTGCATCGCGTGCAACTAGATTAAAGCAGAAAATTAGGCTTGCAGAAGAATAAAACATACTGTAGAACCATTCGATATATTTTAATTTTTAAAACAAGAACTCAGCCCAGAAATGGACGGTTCTCTTTCATACTAAATTAAAATAAGAAGTCTATTTGTAGCTGGTGAGAATATACACAAAATTGTCTTAGATCTCTGAAAAGTTATGTACAGGAAAGCTTCATATACATGATATGAATTTATGCAGTGGACTTCTGTCCCTCTTATACACTCAAGAGTATGAGAGTTTATATGTCACAGCACAACAAAGAAGTAATAAAGACACTGTCAAATTCCAGGTATATAATGAGTGAAAGGAAACCCAAGTCTAGATCAAGAGCTTCAGAAAAAAATGGATATAGTTCTTCCTCCAAAAGGCAGTTAAAACTATTCAAGGAAGCCAGCAAAAGGAAACCTTGAGAGTTGAGCATTTGAACTCACACTGAAACTACAACTACCTCCCTGATCCAATCCAAATTCATTCTTCTCCCGAGTATTCACAGATTCTCATTGGTCTTTTTCCTCTCAATATAGGATCCTTGTGCCTTCCTTCTTGTCCAATTGCTGCATAAATTACCCTTTTATTTTATCTCAGTTTTACTTTTATCTTGCTTGTTGCATTCATGGTTCAAACAATCCCACCTGCTCCTTGCATACCAATGTTGTACTTTTGCTCAGAACAGCAATGCTTAGCACAAAACTGTGAATGCTTTTCTGCTGCTTAACCCTGCATTTCTGCTTTGCCAGTGGACAGAACTAAATCTGCCGTCCTCTACAATGGTGCCAAGCAGCACAGCAACAGGCGGAGTAATAGATAATAGATTTCTCTGTGGAGAAAAAGAAATAGCACCTACCTAAACACTCTATGTTATAGTTGTTGTGAGTTTTTCAGGTTCTTCAAAACACGGCCAAAGAACCCGAAAAATCCACAACAACCATCAGATCCCGGCCGTGAAAGCCTTCGAGAATACTCTATGTTATAGCTTCTGGGTTAACACTAGAAACAACAAACCTACAGTAATATCCAGAATTTGTACACGATCCTCTCCAGACAACCATCAAACTAAAATTTACATTGGTGCTTACAGAATGCACGGTCAACACAAATCCATTCCTTAATGGTGCTACAATGATTTAAAACCAAGGCATGGGCTCTCAAGGATTTTCATGAATTTCACATAGCATCCCAGCAAATCGCCAAACATATCTATGGACATAGCAATGACCTTTAATTTCAGGATGGTACTGAATGTTCAAATCATACAAATTCAAAGGTTTTATTAGATTTGACTTAACTCCTTGCCATTTTATGAGGGCATGGCATTTTATGCATTCCATGCTCGATCCCTGCCATTTGGTGGTAGCACCTAAAGACTCTTTCAGAATTAAAAACAAGAAAACCAGCAGCAAGAAGCCTGGACTAGAGATCATTGTGCAAGTGCTAGCTTTCCTCGAATATGCCTTAGAATATATTTAAATGCACTAATGTAAATATTAATATATGAATAAACTAGCATTGCAAACAACCCTATAAGAATACATAACTCAATTCTTCTAAGATACAAACATGAAAAACTAGACCCAACTCAGACAAGCATCTTTGTGCTACTGTGGAACTACAGAACATAACTGGTAGTGTAGGCAGAAAAGTGTCACACTCATGTGTGGCCAAATCAGGGCAGCCATTACGTGTGGCTTGAACAGCCCATGTTGAACCCAATTTGGCAGATCGAGTTCTCTGTTTATTCTTTACACAGAAAGAACTGAAGTCCTACGGACTGCTCTTGGCACTATAGTCCACACCCTGAATGTCATGCCACCTTCCCATGGTATCAGGACACTCACCTCCATCATGGGCAACTGACTGACTTCGATCATCATGGTTTGCATCTTCAGTGTTAGAGTTTAAGTAAGAGTTGCAACCCCAGAAAGCACAACACTGGTAGGCATATGGAACGGACAGAGATCTAGAAGATCAAGTGAGAATAGCAGACAATCTTAACCGATGGATGTATTTTCCTTTATTTAGCAGTTGTACTTCATATTTGATAAGGCTTCCCTTTCTATGTTCCCTGCCCCAATGAAGGCAAGCTTTAGATTCAGACTAATTATTAGACTTTCCTAAGAATATATTTATACTAGAGAAATAGAGATAAAAGAAGAAAGAACAAAATTCTAATAATGCTATTATTGGGATAGAATTACTGTACTTTAATTATTATATTGTTATTATAGCTATTTTGATTGTTCATTGCTTTGTTGAATGATAATTGCTTAATGTATGTTTTTATTGTAATTATGTAATGGCTGTATTTTAACTGTTTATGACTACTGGATGTGCTCTGGTATAGAGTGCAATAATAATAATAATAATAATAATAATAATAATAATAATAATAACAACAACAACAACAACAACAACAACAACAACAACAACAACGAGGAGGAGGAGGAGGAGGAGGAGGAGGCTATTACTGTGATTACAGTTTCATAAAACCTCCAAGATAAAGTCCTCTGGTTGTAGACCAATCTTACTTTCAAAAGTAGACATGGGCACCAATAAAAAAAATTGAACCAGGAAGTTCATCCAAAATCATTAGTTTGTTGATTCAGGTTTGTTCCAAACTGTAGAACCCAAACTTTCTTGAACCAATGAACTTTTTCCCAATTTAACAAACTCCCTGGTTCATTTCCCCTCTAGCCTGCCCTCTGCCCCCTTCCTACTGCCCCCATTGCCCCCCTACCATCTCTTTCCGCTGCCTCCGTCTAGAGAAACAGTGGCTCAGCTTGCCTTCTGGGAACTGGGACTGCTATCTCTGCATCTGTGCATGTGCCCACCTCTCAGCGGAGAGGTAGGAACATATGCAGAGGCTGCTGGCCTGCAGGAGGCAGCTGTACCAAAAAAGAGGAGGAGGCAGTGGCAGGAAAAGGTAAGGAGGCAACGGTGGCAGTGGGAAAGGGGCAGGGGGCAGGTTGTGGGGCTGGGAAGGCAACCAGGCTTCTTCTTTTTTTAAAATCAACTACTGGGCTGTCTAAAAAAATTTCCCAAACAAACAGACAGACTGATATGTAGTTCGTTCAGGGAAAAATGTACATTTGTGGTTTGTGGACTTCCCCAAACCATGATAAAAATGAACAGCTACTTTGGTGGTTCATGCCCATCTCTCTTCAAGGCAAGCAAGATGTAACAAGCAATAATGTGAATACTGAAATGAATGCTCATCAGGCTGTTGGGAGAGCACCCTATTGGCACAAGCAAATTCCTAGGCAAACACCATATGAAACACATACCTGTCAACACTGCTGTTCTTGTTTATATGAAATCCTTTGTGCTAAAAGTCTGGATTTCCTGCACAGTGCCTTTCTCTTCTATTGAGCACATGTCTGGATGGCTCAGGTATTCAGAAGAAAGGAGTGGACAAGTATTTTGTTTATATCCTCATAATACTGCTTACTGCCAAGACTAGCAACTTCCCTTTGAAAGCAGGACATGCAGGGGTCACTTCGCTTGTTTTGAGACAAAACTATACTTCTGGGAGACTATTTGTATCAACTGACAACAGCTGTAACCGTGAACAAGGCCAAATAACCACAAAACCCTAATGTGCAAAAAAAATCACCAATAGACCACGTTGCCATTGTCAAGGAAGGTCCATGTGGTCTCTTCTGAGGATCTTTATGTATGGCAAGCTAGTCCATACATATATGCGGCTTGCTCACAGTACACCAAGCAGAAATAATGTATATATATGTATATGTGTATGTGTATATATATATGTGTGTGTGTGTGTGTGTGTGTATGTGTGTGTGTGTGTGTATATGTGTGTGTGTATATATATATATGTATATGTGTATATATGTATATAATTATTATTATGGCAGACGGATCATGCTATCAGAAGCATCAAAACAAGCCCACTTGTAGACTAACGAAGCAATATGAATAGCAGTACATACTCTGTTACAAAAAATACTGCTTTTTAATGTTCCACTAACCCCAGAATTGTTTTTACTGAGCATTATACTAGATAATATAGATAAGACAAAGAACTACCTAGTTATATATAAAGTCATTGCAGCCAGAATTCTTTATGCTAAGAATTGGAAGAAATCGGAGATACCGAAACATGAAGAACTCATTGAGAAGATATGGGAAGCAGCAGAAATGGATATTCTATCAGAAGTGTTGAAAGACTGTCCAATACAAAAGGCAACTGAACGATGGGATTTATTATATAAATGGCCTGAGTCACCAGATAGAGCTGGAATAACATAGAATTAAACTAAGATATAACTGTAAGTTGAAACCTGGAGGGCAATCAAATTGTAGAAAGGCGAAAAGTCGACTTGATATCACAACATGAACAAACATATTGGATGACAGTACATTTTGTGTTCTCCTTCCCCCCACATACCCCTCTACTTTTTGTATCCCTAGTTGCTAAAAAAAAAAAAAAGAAACCTCCAAACCGTACGATCAATATTAAAAACAATTACAAGACAAAAATGCCAAGTAATTAAAAACAAAAATTCAGAGCTGGATAACAGATTTATCCAACATTACGAAAGTAAAATTTTAGTTGTCCTAATAAAAGAATCACCCAACTCTGACTTTTGTCCTTAGAAGAAATCTAAATCAAAAGTGACCAGAACAGGATATGAATGTAATAAGACCCATTTTCACTCTTCTGCCCTGAAACTCACTGGGTAGATTAGAGCAATTCTATTTGAGATCTATATGGGAGCCTAAATCCAGTTGTTATTCCTTAACAGACTAGGCTCATGGAAGTAACAGGACTACGCATAGTAAGACAATGTTGATTCAATGGGTCTACTCTATTTGGGAAGTAACGAATTTAGGCCATAAACAGCAAGTTTCCCAAAGAGAGGAATGTTTTGGGAAAAGACAAGAGTAAAAATATAACCCACCCACCAAAAGTCTGAAAATCCCCTTGTCTGGAACAGACCCTGACCAGGAGTGTTTCCTAGTAACATAATTTATATTTTTCATTTTCATCTGGGGATGTATTTGCTTGCTACATCTAGTCTGTCATGGCAGGAGAGTTATGTTAGGGAGCTGTTTTGAGCCAGAACAATGTAACTCTGTCCCACCACAACTCTGCAGCAGGAGCCTAAAGAATGGTAGGATAGACAAAGACAGATATCATTGTTCTTTGTCTAAAAATATAAAGCACTGGATAAACTTGGTTTATTGGCTTTACAATATAGTCCTTTAAATGAGATCCCACAAACAAAGGCAATTACCAGGAATTATGACTGTTAACAGAATTGACCAGATTCTTGGAAAATGCAATCAAAAGAACTAAAATAGAAAGTGTGTATCATCTCAATTACCAACTTACCTGAGTTTTACGAAGTCCTTTTCTGAGAGGGCATCTTTCAGTTCAGTATTGCCCACTAGTTTCAGCTGGTTTAACCTGCTTAGGCCCCCAGTTGGAAATGAAGTCAAAGCATTGAAGCTTAAATCTCTAAAAGGACAATGAGAGAATACAAGTGTGATGGAAAACGTAAGATACTAAATGCCTGACCATGCAAGTGTGAAATGAAAAACACATCCAGCAAGGCTAGAAGAAGAGAAGTGTCTCCTATCAGTCTTGATGGCAGCACTACGCAGACAACGCTGATCGTAACATTTGCACTCCTCTCTTCCTCCCAGCTTACAGCAACATATGTGAAGTTAACTCACAGCAACTCTGAGAAATAAGGGCAGCTGAGAGATGATGATTTGTTTAAGGCTGCCCAGAGTGACATATGGTCAAGAGGACATGTTAAGCTGTGCTGCCTCCCTCCAAACTCAGTGTTCCATCTGCTTTACTGCACTCACCCCTACATGTATTGGCTGACATTGAAGACAAACCAATGTAGTCCCAGCCATCTCTTCCCAACAGGCAGATCTCAATGGTGGCTTTTCACAGGGCTTTTCTTTCTCATGCTTATAAGTGTCACTATTTCTAAAGAAATTCTGGTTATAACTCAGCCTAGGCTGCCAACCCAATCAACTAGCTGTAGCAGTCCCTAACTGCTGGGGTGAGACAGTATGGGAACAAGACATTCTCGGCAGTGCAGAAGAAAATGGCCACTCTCTTTTTTCCCCTCTTTCTCACTCCTGGAACTGAAGTCATCCAGTGAAAACGATTGTCCTGATTAATAAAAGAAAGTACTTCCTATAACAACATGTCACAAATTTATGAAAATTGTTCTCATAGGATACAGGGGTGACCACAACCTGAGAAGGCTTTCAGAAGGAATTCTACAAATTCATAAGAGGATAGTCTATCAATTCTATTATTTGCAACACGTATCTATAGTCTCCACTTTCAGTGGAGCCACAGGAACAAGCTACTGTCCTCATGCTCACTGTTCAGGACTTTTGAGACACGTAAGGTCCGCCACTGTGGGATGCAGAATGCTGAACTAGTGGGTCTGATCTCTTATGTTCTTATGAAAAGCAGATACACAGAAATATCTCATGTGTCTACAAGTGGCTAAGACCAAGAAGGTTGAGAAATATTCATTCAGAACTCTCCACTGTAAGCTGTACTCTTCTTGTTGCCCCATAGGCACTGTTGTGGTACCTTACTGCATAGCTGTGTAAGCCGCCAAAAAACAAGCTACGGAGGAAGTATGGCTTAAACATCCTTCTCACATCCTTCCTGATTTAATGGAAGGTTAGGAGCTGCTCGGATCCTCTCCCTCCCCAACTTGTCACTTGGATGAGATTTAGTGCCAGGGTTGGGGGAGAAGGCAAAAAACATTTCCACAGGCCTTCTGAGGCACATTTTTTTTCTCCACTGATGTGCAACAAAAGCTGGCCCTTTTGTATGTGACATTAACATGTTACTTTTGCTTTTCCTAAATGATCCTGAACAGCTGATTTAAGGAGTTAGGACAAAGATTTTTGAAAAGAAGGAATGAGATACTATTGAGTTTAGAAACGTTACTAGTACAAAATGGCCTACTTACAGGTTGGTAAGAGCACTGAGCGTAGTAAATGCCTCCTTGTAAACCTGGCGGATCACATTTCTGCTGAGATCACTGCAATTTTAAAAAGTACTATTGTGTTAGTGATTTACAATGACACTTCCAAATAACTATTGTTTGCACTTCAGCGATTACATTATGTTTCAGGTCACACGAAGCTTCTGGTAACAAATACCTTGCACTCAACTACATTTGACAATGTCATCATGATAATTTCTGCTACACAATTCTCTTAAGGGCACCTTATCTACTGGAAAACTAAGAAACAATGCCTCTAGTATGGGGCTGTGAAGCTCAATTTACTCATTTTACCTTTAGGCACCAATCTGCCTGCCCTGGAATGGGATCAGGTTTTGAAATGTAAGTGAGGATTAGGGGCATTATAATCTATCAGTTCCTTTTTTGTTGGGCATCTCCAAATTTACCCTGCGTTTTCTTCCCATTCTTGCTTCTTTTAAGGTTGTAAACTTGCATTTTTACCCTGCAGTGAAAGTCATATGAATTTTAAATCATTTTTCTTAATATGGGCATTAATTTATGATACTATCTAATTTATGGAATTTCCGCCATTGATTAAAGCAGTGGTTCTTAACCTTTTAGAAAGAAACGCCCCCTTGAGCCATTGAGGAAGTTATCATCGCCCCCTCCCCGCGGTGATGATATCTTATTATTTATTTATTTATTTATTTATTTGTTTGTTTGTTTGTTTGTTTGTTTATTTAAGACACTTAAATACAATGACCCCTGAAAACAAAATTCAATTCCAAGAAAATGAAATGCCCCCAAAAAGTAACATTTAATGATTTAGTTGCAAGCGAATTTTAAGACGCAAAAAGAAATATAAAAAGGG